CTTAGCATGAACTTCCTTGAGGACAGGCAGGAGGAGTTCCAGTGTTTTGCTGCTGCTTCACCTCATCTCGTCTCCATGCTGATTGCACCTGAGGGAGACCCGGATGCACCAGACATCCCGACTCCGCGCTCTTACGCAGAGGCGATAGAGGGTCCCTACTCCTCTCAGTGGCAGTCAGCCATGGACGTAGAGATGGCTTCCTGGAAGTCCACAGGCACCTACGTCGACGAGGCTCCCCACCTGCGGCGAACATCGTCAGTGGCATGTGGATTTTCAGGGTGAAGCGGCCGCCGGGTTCTCCGCTTGTCTTCAAGGCGCGTTACGTGGCTCGAGGCTTCAGTCAGCGGCAGGGAGTTGACTACTTTCAGACCTTCTCTACCCACCCCGAAGATGACCACTCTTCGGGTGCTGCTGCACATAGCCGCCTCAGCGCGACTACGTGCTTCACTCTCTTGACTTCAGCACTGCTTTCCTACAGGGCAGCCTGCACGAGGAGATCTGGATGCGTCGCCCACCTGGCTTCACTGGGTCATTTCCTGCATGTACCCATTGGAGCCTCCCAGGTGTCTATGGTCTCCGCCAGGCGCCCCGTGAGTGGCACGACACACTGAGGACTACACTTGCGGCTCTTGGGTTTGCTCCTTCTACTGCTGACCCGTCGCTGTTTCTACGCACCGACACCTCTTTGCCGCCGCTCTACATCCTCTGTCTTTGCTACTACTGACACTGCCGGACTCGCCCACGTGAAGTCCGAGCTACAGAAGAGACACACGTGCACAGGCCTGGGTGAACTGCGCAGCTACCTTGGCTTGCAGATCACCGGGACAGAGCACAGCGCACCATTACCGTGACTCGGTCACACATGGTGCAGCAGGTGCTTCAGCGCTTCGACTTCACGTACTCCTCGCCTCAGGCCATCCTCTGTCTACTCGCCACTCGCTCTCAGCTCTGTCTTCGGATGAGTCTGTAGAGCCGAGTGGCCCGTACCCAGAGCTTGTTGGCCGCCTCATGTGCGTGATGACCTGCACTCGACCTGACCTTGCATACCCTCTTAGCATCTTGGCACGCTATGTTGCTCCTTGGAGACACCGACCAGAGCACAGGCTGCAGCGAAGAGGGTGTTGCGCTACTTGTGCAGTACGTCGGGCATGGGGCTTTTGCTTGGAGGGCAGAGTCCAGTGGTCCTCACTGGTCACGCAGACGCTTCTTGGGCGGACGACCAGGCTACGCAGCGGTTGTCACAGGGTTACACCTTCAGCCTTGGTTCCGGCTCTGTTCGTGGTGGTCTACCCGCTCGTCTTCTGTTCTCAGCTCCAGTTGTGAGGCTGAGATCTATGCAGGGGCCATGGCTGCACAGGAGTTACGCTGGCTCACCTCCCTGCTGACCGACCTAGGAGAGCCGCCTCATTCTCCTCCAGTTCTGTACGTAGACAACAAGGCCATGCTGGCCTTGTGTCGGGAGCACAGACTAGAGCACTGAACAAAGCACATTGCTCTTCACTACTTCCTTGTTTGTGAGCTAAGCAGCGTGGTCAGCTGCGCCTTGCTTACATGGCCTCTCGGGCCAACACTGCGGATATCTTTACCAAGGCACTTCAGCCTTGTGATCATTAGCGCTTTTGTATGATGCAAGGTCTTGTGCCTACTTGGCCTCACTTGCTCACTTCTTGACCTTGCTTGTACTGTGATCCTTCTATACCTGCACTTGCTTGTTTACCTTTATATATAAACCTGCATGTGAACTGGCCTTGTGGCCTTGAACTGGTGTTCGGAATGTGTGGTGACCTTGTGATCCACCCTGAGCTTGCTTTGCTTGACTGGTCTTGTGACCCCTAGTTCTCCCCCACTTTGCCTATGGGGGTGTGTCAGATATATATGGCATAGTGTTTGTAGGCTCTAGTGGGGTAGACACTAAGGGGTACAGGTTTCTAGGGTTTCATATTTGTATCACACACTTTCCTAGTTCATCCATTCCTCATTATTTCACAATTCAATATATTTAGTTTCTGAGATGTGTTAATATCGATACCAGGGGGTAAACGTATTTGGTCCTCACCTCAAAATCAAACATTGTTCTTATTGATTGGTGATACGCTCATAAGAAACGAGGTATGGGTCCTTCGCATGCAGATGGGCGACAAGAACACATTTCTTCGATCATCAAAGCAACTGCGTCATTGCTGGTGTCGATGTCTATCGGCTGTATATGCGTTAGCAGCACATCCTAAGCTCGCGGCATCACACGTCTCAACAGTTAGCAGCAACAGTTTTCCGTAACGATCGCATCGCCTTGCAAATTATTATCGTACACAATAACGTGCTATACGCGCACCCGATCTGTTCTCTCACCCAACGCCATGCCAAGGTAGGGACTTATCGCGATTTATTGAAGTTGCTTTTTGCGTAGATACTGTGAAGTGGCCTTGAGCAACTCGCCAAATCCATACACATCTATGATGAGGCATTCAAAAAACAGTTCGCGACAAAAAAGGATAAATAACACATTTTTATCATTAGAATGCTTACTATGTATAATAGCTTTTCCCCTGATCGATCTAGAGACTTGGCGTTCCTACCTCTTGCATGAACCCAAACTGCAATCTTCAATGCAGTTATGAGATGAAGGGTGATCTTGTCGAGTCCTTTTTCTCATTCAGTAACGTTTGACGCATCTTCCGTATCTACTTCACCTTCATTGAAGCGGACATTTATATGTGTTGTGGAGTGTTGATGGATGCGGATGCTTTGCTTCTGCATGTCACGACCACCATCTCAACTCTTGCCAGGTGTCGTGTTAGCATTGTCCTCATCATGCTCCATATAGATTTTGCAATTTTACATAGGAAATATGTTGTTAGTGTGTGAAGACAAGCCACATGAATAAACCTTCCCACGAAGTCTTGTATCGCGTGTGGCTGTTGAAAAGGCAACTTTGAAATCGCGAGTTTTTGAAGAGGGAGGGGGGGGGGGGGAGGGGGGGGTTCCTAATCTTCATTGGCCAATTTGTTGACGGGACTAGCCTCACACGTGAAGCATAGCTTCCATCAACGCCCTTTTGTCGCACGCCACTTTCGGGGGGCTTGCGCTTCGAGGAACTCTAATCCCATGCAACATCCGCCGATTGAAGTGTTGGATCGGTTGCCTTGGGAGCTGGTTTCATGGCAACGGAAGGTGTTGAGGCGAGACCTCTAGTTGTGGGCAATATAGGCCCTTTGACACGCGTCTGGCCAGAGTGACAAAAAGCTCGTTCCCCACAAGCATAGCATCTATCTTTATGAATCCGAGACACGTTTGCGGGGGAGAGCGAGGTCGTTGTTTGCGAGATGCATCATCGTCACCTTACATTGCATCTAGAATGTCTACAACTGAAAGAGTCGAACACAAGAGAGCGTGTAGGGGGGGGGTATATGTAACATTCCCATACCCTCTATAGTGCAAAACAACATAGCCTACAAAGTATACATACAAAATGCATATGCGTACACTAACGTGGAGCCATAAATAGGGGATTGAGAGTGTGGTGGGTACGAAATTTAACTTAATGAGCTAGCGTGCGGTTGTGAGAATCGTAGGTAGAGTGAGGAGCCATAGCTAGGGTTAGCTAGCTAGGCAAGAGAGAAATGAAGAAAGGAGGAGGTTTCACTAGCAGCAGTTGGGATACATATAGCAAACCCAACAGGGCTGTACTCGCTATAGTGCACCCACTACAGGCTAGATAATAACATTCTGACACACCCCCATAGCCAAAGTGGGGTGTAATCAGCAGAGCACACAGTCATAGAGCAGGTTCACAATGGAAAGCAAAGCTAGAGGCTATCACAGAGGGCAAGTGAGGAGGAGGAGAGCACTTTGGACGGATAGAAGATGGGAGGCAACGACGGAAGCTGCAGAGGCACGGGCACAGGAACGACTGACTCAGTGGCTACCGAAGCAAGGGCGACGGACTACTGGAGTGATGGCTCCACGGCTATAGACGAGCGGCAAGAGCAACGGACCCACTGGCGACTGGTGCAACAGGCTCACGGCTACCGAAGCAAGGGCGACGGACTACAGGCGCTGCAGGCGACACGACAGCTACCTCCACACAACCTCCTCCAACTGACCCACACCCTTGACAACACCCCCTGCTGAACCCCTAACTCCACTCCCACGTAACCCCCCTAGCACCACTCCTTCACCGCGCCTCGAGCGCACGGCGGAAAGAAAAACAAAAAAAAAAAAAAAAAAAAAAATCGCACGCCACGGGGCATGCAACAGACAGAGTAGCAGCGGAAGCAGTTAGGTGGGCCCACAGGCCAGGAGCGTAGATGCTCTGATAGCATGTGAGAATCGTAGGTAGAGTGAGGAGCCATAGCTAGGGTTAGCTAGCTAGGTAAGAGAGAAATGAAGAAAGGAGGAGGTTTCACTAGCAGCAGTTGGGATACATATAGCAAACCCTAACAGGGTTGTACTCGCTATAGAGCACCCCACTACAGGCTAGATACTAACATTCTGACATGCGGAGGGAGGAGTTGGGAGGCTACAGCCAGAGCTAGGGTAGATGAATCATGAAACTGAAGTCTATGTGAAAAAAGTGGAAGCGAGATAATCTATATCGTGCTTGTGCCTGTTTGCAGCTATTATGTATCTTGGCGGTCGGGGGTCAGGACGTAAAGGAGACGCGCACAATCACAAAATACAATATTTTGCTAATGATTGTTGCAAAAAGGTCAGCGATGTGTGTGCTATAACCCCCGTCATCCCGATGTATTCATTAGTGTTAGATTCAATCCTACCCATCCGCATCAACCCAATAGCATGCGACCATACCAATTATTAGGCCTGTATGAAATATTGTTTTTTCAAACGGACCTACACTAAACAAGTCTATCGAAAAAAAGGAGTAGAGACCCCTACCCTGCTTTATTGTAAGGGTCATAAGGGTGATTCACCATGTTAGCAAGCAGAAGTGGGCCTTAAGCGCGGTCCACAGCGAGATGACTCAGTGGTGCCGCGCGCGCATGGTTCAGGTCTTCCGCGAAATCCCCACCTTGATGCTCTTCATACGTACAACACCGCCCAATGGCTTTGGAAGATACACCGGTTGAACAGTGTTGTATATGTATAGCAGGAGGAGGGCGAGGAGGAGGGAAAAAGAGGAGGGCGAGGAGGGATTGGGCAAGGTGAGGGCGAGGAGGAGGGAAAGGAGGGAGGCGAGGAGGGATTGGGCGAGGAGGAGGGCGAGGAGGGCAAGGAGGATGGCAAGGAGGAGAACAAGGAGGAGAGAAAGGAAGAGTGCGAGACGGAGGCCTGTATGAAAGATTGTTTTTTTTTTTTTTTTTTTAAGAAGGACCTACACCAAACATGTCTATCGAAAAAGGATAGAGGCCCCTACCCTGCCTTATTGTAAGGGTCACAAGGGTGATTCACCATGTTGCAAGCAGGAGCGGGCCTTAAGCGTGGTCCAGAGCAAAATGACTCGGTGGTGCGCGCGCGCATTGTTCAGGTCTTCTGCGAAAACCCTACCGTGACGCCTCTTCAGGCGTACAACGCCGTCCAATGGCTCTGGAAGATACACCGGTTGAGCACTGTTGTATAGGTAAAGCAGGAGGAGGAGGGCGGGGAAGAGGGAAAAGAGGAGGGCGAAGAGGGATTGGGCAAGGAGGACGAAGAGGAGGACGGAAAGGAGGAGGGCGAGGAGGGAAAGGAGGGCGAGTAGCGCGATGAGGATGGCAAGGAGGAGGGCAAGGAGGAGAGAGAAGAAGAGTGTGAGGAGGAGGAGGCATGTATGAAAGATTGTTTT